TTGTGGCAATTGGCAAAAATGTATTTATCCACTTCCCGCCAGACGACATACCAATAAGTTGCTCAACTTGAGTGGTTATACCAGGATGATACCTTTCAGCCGGAGGTCAGCTTTCTTGTATGACAGCGATCGCACCACACAAATGAGATCACCATGAATGGCAGATCGAGAACATTAATCCGAGCACCAGACCTCCTGTGCAAATGGTAACCTGTAAAGGCTTTCAAAGCGTTGCCTATACATAACAAAATGTACGTAGTTTATCACCGTTGCACAAGTGTGCGCAATTTTAAACCGGCATCTATTTATTTGGCATAAAATATTTTTTTAAATTTTACCAAATTGGCTAGTATGTTCTTTTGTGCATTACAATTCAATAACGTATTTAAAAAAAAAAAAAAAAAAAAAAAAAAGGCTTCTGATAAACTGCATTGCTAATTCCGTGTGACATAAAAAAAATGGCAAAACCATTTTCTAAATTAGGGTTTTTGCTTTGAAGCGGAGTTCCACCTGAAAAAATTAAATAAAAGTCAGAAGCTACAAAAACTGTAGCTGCTGACTTAAAATACGGTCGCTCACCTGTCCCTCGGTCCAGCGGTGTCCTCACCGCTGCTGGTTTCACCGGCCGTCTTCTCTCTCTGGCGCCGGCATCTTTAGTGTGGGCACCCGGCTGTGACAGCTTGTGGCTTCACAGCTGGGTGCCCACCGCGCATGCGCGAGAAGCACTGCGCTTTGTGAATGGCCCCGTAGTCTTCTGGGATCTGTCGTGGGGGCAGGTGGAGGACAACTTCCGCTTTTGCTGGCCTAGGCGATCGCAGCAGAAGTGGAAGCGGGTACCTGTCAAATTCTGGTGCCCGCTCTCCAAAGGTGTCAATCCTTAATGGGGAACGGGGGACAAAGGCTTAAAGCGGAACTTCCCCTTTTGGGTGGAGCTCCGCTTTAAGAAAACGTATGTTTGGGGGTTTAAGTAATTTTCTAGCAAATAATACTGCTTTTTACATGTAAACAAAGGTAAAAATAGGCCCGGTTTTGAAGTGGTTATGATTGTTTTGTTCAGAACATTGAAATGGAAGCCCATGTGGCTACCTCAAAAGCCAATAGAGACGGAGATAAGCACGCTGCTATTGGCAATTTGCATAGATGCTGGTGATTGGCAACCATATAGCCAGCAGTAAGGACTAAAAGTAATGGGTTGCTTGTGGAGCTTCTGGAATGGGTTGCTTGTGGAGCTTCTGGAATGGGTTGCTTGTGGAGCTTCTGGAATGGGTTGCTTGTGGAGCTTCTGGAATGGGTTGCTTGTGGAGCTTCTGGAATGGGTTGCTTGTGGAGCTTCTGGAATGGGTTGCTTGTGGAGCTTCTGGAATGGGTTGCTTGTGGAGCTTCTGGAATGGGTTGCTTGTGGAGCTTCTGGAATGGGTTGCTTGTGGAGCTTCTGGAATGGGTTGCTTGTGGAGCTTCTGGAATGGGTTGCTTGTGGAGCTTCTGGAATGGGTTGCTTGTGGAGCTTCTGGAATGGGTTGCTTGTGGAGCTTCTGGAATGGGTTGCTTGTGGAGCTTCTGGAATGGGTTGCTTGTGGAGCTTCTGGAATGGGTTGCTTGTGGAGCTTCTGGAATGGGTTGCTTGTGGAGCTTCTGGAATGGGTTGCTTGTGGAGCTTCTTCTCACAATTTCTCAAAACATACTAGAAGCTTAACTGGCTTAATCTTAATGGAGATTCCATTTACTACTGAAAATGGATTCCTGTTGTTTCTGCATGAAAGGTCCTCCTTCCTTCCATCTATCTACTCTTCCATGGTATTTGAAACCTCAAATTGCTCCCGTATTTCAGAAATGAAGATACTCTCAGATTGAAGTAAAGGGACATGATCTGCCTGCTGTAGATGCAGAAATAAGGCTCCTGCTGTTTACAAAGCTGCTGCGGGGGATCCATACAAGGAAGGGAACTCAGCGACAAGTACAGCAGTTGACCTGAGGTAAAGTCCTTCAAAGGCAACCTATAAAGGATAAAAATATGGGAGCTGTCAGCACTGACTTGTTGCTGGTGGACTGAGTTCTGAGGATATCATCCATATCCTTCCTTCATCACTGAGTCAATGATCCAGAGCAAGCCTGTAGAAAAATGTCGGGACACTTGACCTGCGTTCAGTGATGAAGCTAGAAGTAAAGCAAGGATCAAAAAATAAAAGTCAGCAGCTACAAAAACTGCAGCTGCTGACTTTTAAAAAACAGCCACTTACCTGTCCCTCGGTCCCGTGGTGTGTCCCCTGCAGCCCATTTCACCGGCCGTCCTGTATTACAGGAGGCCGGCATCTTCAGTGTGGGCACTCGGCTGTGACAGCTTGCACCTTCACACCTGGGTACCCACTGCGCATGCGCGCGTAGCGCTGCTCTTCATGAATGGTCCTGTAGTCTTCTGGGACTTGTCACGTGTCCCAACAGACTACAGGGAGGGAGGACACCTTCCGCTTGGCGATTTGACCGGAAGTGGGAGATGGTACCTGTCAAATTTGGGTACCCACTCCCCCCCGCCCCCCAAAGGTGTCAATCCTTAATGGGGAGCTGAGGAGCAGTCCTTAAAGCAGAACTTCACCTTCTGGGTGGAGCTCCGCTTTAAGAGGGCAGCCCTACAGCTTGCCTATTTAAAGGTGAACTCTAGGCAACCAGCTAAATACACATTGTAATTTTTATTTCATTTATTACAGGTACTTATATTGCGCCGTCAATTTACGCAGCGCTTTACATATATATTGTACATTCACATCAGTCCCTAACCCTCAAGGGGTGTACAATCTAAGGTCCCTAACTCACACTCATACATACACATATTAGGGACAATTTAGACAGGAGCCAATTAACCTACCAGCATGTCTTTGGAGAGTGGGAGGAAATCTGAGTACCCGGAGGAAACCCACGCAGGCACAGGGAGAACATGCAAACTCCAGGCAGGTGGTGCTGTGGTTGGGATTCAAACCAATGACCCTAATACTGCCAGGCGGAAGTGCTAACCATTTTTTTTGTCTGAATATTGACATCAAGTTACTACCAGCATTATAATTATTTCAAGTTTGTATATGGTAAAAATTGTTGAAAGAACCTACAGGTCCAAAATGTACCATAATTCAGTTCCAAATACGGCACACATTAAAGGCATATTTGGAAGTCAGATACGTACTGTAGAGGACATCAGCAGCAGATACATATTTCTTTGCTTCAAATTTGACCCAAACATCACAAGGAGAACCTGTTGTGTAGAAGGGAAATGCACCACCATGGCAGAGGAAGTCACAGGACTGTCAACTATGTATATTTCACTGCAGTTCAGTATTATGATCTTATGGTTTGTACTATATCATTACATTACTATATACACAAGTATATTGTAAATTAAAGCCAGCCATAGGTGGTTTCAAATCTCAGCCAGTTCATCAGGGACCGGCGGAGATTAGAACCATGTATGGGAAGGCTTAATGTACCCAAGTTGATCAATCAACTTGGGTACAACCAGCCTGTCGGTTTTAGTGGCTATCAGACGCTAGCAGTAATCAATGTGCTCTCCCAGTGGGGATGGCTACCCCTAATCCACCCCCCTCCTTAACCCCACCCATGCGGAGAGACCAGAATGGCTCTGCAGGAGGGATTCCTCCATCAACACTAACTGTGTTGATGGGGCAATAGAGCGATGGTCCATGGTTGCAGGAAAGAAAATCGCTTCATCTATGGCTGGTTTAAAGCAGAACTCCACTCAAAAGGGGAAATTCTGCTTTAAAGACTGGTCCCCCGTTCCCCATTAAGGATTGGCACCTTTGGAGAGCAGGTACCCGAAAATGACAGGTACCCAATCACACTTCCGTGGAAGTTGTTCTCCACCCCTGCCTCCCCATAGTCTTCTGGGACACGTGACAGGTCCAAGAAAACTACGGGACCATTGAGAAAACTCTAGATGTTACAGCGGGGTGCCCACACTGAAGATGCCAGTGCCAAGAACACTGGATGGCTGGTGAAACAGGCTGCGGGGGGACACCGCTGGATCAAGGGACAGGTGAGTGGCTGTTTTTTTAAAAGTCAGCAGCTACAGTTTTTTTGTAGCTGCTGACTTATTTTTGTTCCATTGTAACTGGAACTCCACTTTACGGCTAGTATATGCTTTTAAGTGCAAATAAACTCACAAATGACTATAATGCAGCCGGTATATACATATAGTAATCAGATTTTTAACTCTTCTTATAACTGATACATTCTGTAGGAAAACTCATACAAAAGTCCTGCAGCAGAGATAAGATCCTTCTGGTAATCTGACCACCTCAGTCCTCCAAACTCCTCCGTGCCTTCAGCAGAGAAAACAAAGCAGACCTTCTGCTTCTGAACCCCATTGGCTGGGATGTCTGTGTCAAAGTGGAATCACAATAGCTTCCAAGAAACCAATTATTTTGGTGGGGTTCGGAGGTTGACCGGATAATTTTTCTCTGAGGATTTTGAACTTCATACTTCTCCAAATAAAGAAAAAAATAAATATGGCTTTTTTTTTTGAGGTTCCTGAATCTTTCACAAAATCTGCAAACCTGAGTTACACCTTTAATATTTGTAGACAATGAAAAATAAAGTGAGCTCGCTAGAAAACTTGGTTACCTAACTTTACACATACGTTACAAACTAGGTTAGTTTAGGGATCAGCGTGTTTGCTTTGAAACAATAGGGTCTAGGTTTGATTCCAAATTGGGCACAATATCAACATCGGGTTTCTTATGTTCTCACCACATTGACTCAAGAAGGTGTATGCAGGCCTGTATGGCTGTATGCAGGGACTTCTGACCCTTTCTGGAAGGAACTCATATGAAGAGTTCTTTGTAAAATGCTGCCTAATATGAAGACTCTAGATAAATACAGGAAAAAAGTCCAAAGGAATTCTGTATAGGACAAGAAACCTGGACTATATCAATATGTCTATGACAAGGACACAGTGATAAAAAGATACATACATTTTAATGGTATAACCTGGAATTATTACCTTAAAGCAGGGCTTGAAATTTCCACTCGCCGGCTCGCCAATGGCGAGTGGAAATTATGGTGGGGGCCAGTGTGTCCCCCAGGGCCATCTTGCTGAGCAGGCTCGGAGCTCAGGCCGGATCGGTCATTGGCACTGGGAGCTGTCATACTGCTCAAAAGCTGAGCGCAGTGAAAGCAAAGCAAGGAGTGTGTGCTGTGCTCTCTGCCTCCCCCTAGAGTGCAGTACCCGGCTCTGTGAGAGAACACCGAAGTACTGCAACTTTTTATGGGTGTGTGTGTGTGTCTGCATGTACGTGTGTGTGTGTGTGTATGTATGTATGTATGTACGTACGTACATGTGTGTATCTGTACATGTGTCTGCATGTATGGACATGTATGTGTCTGTGTGCGTGAGCGTGTGCATGTACGTACGTGTGTTTTTAAACATGAAATTACATGTAAGCAGATAAAGTATATTTTAATGGTGTAATACGGGTTTACACTATACTTTATTTGATATATGGTGGGCATCGGTGGAGCGCGGAGATTGATGTTCGAAGGATAAGAATTATGCAGATTGCTGTACGTGGATGACATCAGGAGCGCATCTATAAGGCTGTGAGGATATCTTGAGAGGATCTCCTTGGTGGAGCATATTATGTGGAATTACCCTGCTTGGATGGTTATAAGGCGTGTTATTTATTTTTAGTTGGTAAGGGTATTCACTCTTTACGCAATAGAAGTGGACACAGTTTTTTTTTCACTTGCTGTTGTATTGATTTTTTTACTGGATTGATTCACTGTCACGTTTTAACACAGTTATTCACTTTTTCACTAGTAGTGATCATGCGTGTTTTTGCGTTTAAATCACATTTGTTTATTCAGTGTGTAATATTCAAGGGTTGATAAGGATAATTCACTATGTGAATTTTCTTTTCTTTTGAGGTTTTCTATTGGTCTCAGGAGCCATTTGGAAGTTTTCAACACGAAGATTTTTCTTTGAATATTTTCTACTGAGTGACTATAATTTTTGAAGGACATTATTTTGTATTTTTGGACGTTCTCTTTGCACTATTTGATATATTTTCTATGTTATTGAGAATATACTGTATTTATAGTTAGCATATTATTATTCCCATGGTTGATGATTGGTCTAGTGTTGTCACAGAGGTGGGGGGAGCAGGGGCGGACTGACCATTTGGAAACTTGGGCACTGCCCGAGGGCCCGGGGGCAGTAGGGGGCCCCCATGAGATGCCCCTGGTACCTGTTTCATAGGCTTTTTTGAGCTTGGACAAGGACACAGGGGCCCCATGATCCCCTATTGCCCGGGGGCCCCATGAGTTGTCAGTCCACCCCTGGGGGGGGGGGGGGAGTGAGTTTCTACTATTTGACAGCAAGCAGTGGATCATGTGACTCATGATCCTTCTACTATCTGACAGCAAGTGATGGTTGGTGATTGGTCCAACGCTGTCATATAGGGATGGGAGGAGTGTGCTTCTACTATATGACAAGTGATGGTTGGTGATTGGTCCAGTGCTGTCACATAGAGGTGGGGGGAGTGTGCTTCTACTATTCGACAAGTGGTGATTGGTCCAGTGCTGTCACATAGGGATGGGAGAAGTGTGCTTCTACTATATGACAAGTGATGGTTGGTGATTGGTCCAGCGCTGTCACATAGGGGTTGGGGGAGTGTGCTTCTGCTATTTGACAGCAAGTGGTGGATCATGTGACTCATTCCTCTTCTATTTGACAGCAAGTGATGGTTGGTGATTGGTCCAGCACTGTCACATAGGGGTGGGAGGAGTGAGCTTGGCTCTGTGAGAGTCCACTGGGACTGACGTGAAGCTTACGTGGGGCTTCTTTTCTCAATGCGCCCAGCAGTAAACATACAGCATTGGTGGAGTGATGGAAAGCTAAGTATAACATGCTTCAGTGGACAAATTTAAGGTGAATACTGTTGTTTTTGTATGGCCAAGGTACAAACTCACTTTAATGCAGAATTCAAGTGTGTTTTAGTCCAATCGATGAGCCAGAACACCCCTTGAAATTTCCACTCATCTGCTCGCATTAGGCGAGTGGAAATAAGTTGAGGGCGAGTATGGGGCAGCATCGGAAGGGGGTGCAGGCACCACCGGCAGGCGGGGTTGAACGGGACCCGATTCCCCTCCCAGTCTCCGCCCTCTGTCATTCTCTTAGAAGAGAATGAATAGTGTGGAGCCGCACCGTGGGGGGCGGACAGGGCTAGCAAGCAGGGTTGAACAGGAATAGATTCCCCTCCCAATCTCTGCCCCGTCATTCTCTTAGCAGGACCTGGCATACAGCGGGAGAGGGTGAAGAACTAGATGAGGCAGGCAGGCAGCAGCTGCCATAGTTTTTACTTTTCCTATTAACTAGCTGGTGATTGGTTGCTCGGAGCACCTAGCAACCAATCACCAGCTTGTTAATAGAAAGTTAACTTTGGCAGCTCCCGCTCCCCTGTCCAGTGCTGTGCTTATCCTAAGTGAGTCATTGATTGGTTTTCAAATTCTTTAATGCTATATTTAATATAGCTTTAAAATATTTACTTAACAAGGCAGTAATGTGTACGGTGCCTATAGTAGCCAATCATATTTTATTTATCACGGTCAGATCAATGAAATAAGATTGCTGGTATTGTTTATTTATATGGTTTTCCTTATTCAGTGTAATTATTACACTGAATAAAGGAAAAAAAATAACCAATACCAGAAATCGCCAATCATATTTCATTGATCTGACAGTGATAAATAAAATATGATTGGGGGGAGGAGGGAGGGAGTGTGATGGGGGGGAGGAAGTTGGAGTATAAAGGGGAGGGAGTGAAGGGGGGGAGGGAGTGAAGGGGGAGGGAGTAAAGGGGGAGGGAGTAAAGGGGGAGGGAGTAAAGGGGGAGGGAGTGAAGGGGGAGGGAGTGAAGGGGGAGGGAGTGAAGGGGGAGGGAGTGAAGGGGGAGGGAGTGAAGGGGGAGGGAGTGGGGGGGGGAGGGAGTGAAGGGGGGGGAGGGAGGAGGGGGGGGGGGGGGGGAGGGGGGGGGGGGGGGGGGGGGGGGGGGGGGGGGGGGGGGGGGGGGGGTGTGTGGGGGGGGGAGTGGGGGGGGGGGGGGGGGGTGTGGGGGGGGGGGGGGGGAGTGTGAAGGGGGGGGGGGGGGGGGGGGGGGGGGGGGGGGGGGGGGGGAGGGGGGGGGGGGGGGGGGAGGGGGGGGGGGGGGGGGGTGTGGGGGGGGGGGGGGGGGGGGGGGGGGGGGGGGGGGGGGGGGGGGGGGGGGGGGGGGGGGGGGGGGGGGGGGGGGGAAGGGGGGGGGGGGGGGGGGGGGGGGGGGGGGGGGGGGGGAAGGGGGGGTGGGAAGGGGGGGGGGGGGGGAGAAGGGGGGGTGGGGGTGGGGGGGGGGGGGAAGAGGGGGGGGGGGGGGGGGGGGTAGGGGGGGGTGTGGAAGGGGGGGGGGGGGGGGGAGGGGAGGGAGGGGGGGGGGAAGGGGGGGGGGGGGGGGGGGGGGGGGGGGGGGAGGGTGGGGGGAGGGGGGGGGGGGGGGGGGGGGGGGGGGGGGGGGGGGGGGGGGGGGTGTGTGAAGGGGGGGGGGGGGGGGGGGGGGGGGGGGAAGGGGGGGGGGGGGGGGGGTAGAAAAGAGGGGGGTGGGGGGGGTGGGGGGGGGGTAGGGGGGGAGTGTGAAGGGGGGTGGGGGGGGGGGGGTAGAAAAGGGGGGGGGGGGGGGGGGGAGGGGGGGGTAGGGGAGGGGGGGGTGAAGGGGGGGTGGGGGGGGGGGGGGGAGTGGGGGGGGGGGGGGGGGGGGGGGGGGGGGGTGGGGGGGGGGGGGGGAGGGGGTGGGTGCGGGGGGGGGGTGGGGAGGGGGGTGCGAAGGGGGGTGCGAAGGGGGGTGCGAAGGGGGGTGGGGAGGGGGGTGCGAAGGGGGGTGGGGAGGGGGGTGCGAAGGGGGGGGGGAGGGGGGTGCGAAGGGAGGGGGGTGCGAAGGGGGGTGGGGGGGAGGGGGGGTGCGAAGGGGGGGGAAGGGGGGGGGGAGGGGGGTGCGAAGGGGGGTGGGGAGGGGGGTGCGAAGGGGGGTGGGGGAGGGGGGTGCGAAGGGGGGTGGGGAGGGGGGTGCGAAGGGGGGGTGGGGAGCAACTGGTGGAGAGTAACTCTTAAGGCCTGGCTAGTAGCCCAGGACTTGACATTTTGAGCCCTGAGCCAGTAGACACATTTAAGAGCATACACTTACCCTGAAAACACAAGTGATGCCAAATAATTTACATGGAATCAAGTGTTTAATTTGCAGAATACATATAAAGGGCAATCCTGAACACCATGACATGCCTCCGATAAGCTCCCTGTCATCTGTAGAATACACCAGTCTGTATACAAGGTCCTGTGCCCCAGATATACACTGGAACAATGGAGAGGGAACAGCTTTTTACACATCCAGAAGGAGACAGACAATAACAGCGGGGGAGCCGCGACCAGCCGTCATCACAAGCTACATGCGCGGACTAGCGGTCTACAAACAGCACGCTCCATTCAGAGGCCATGTTTAAGCTCCAGATGCAATAGCCCAGAGGACGGTAAACTGATTAAATGTACAGCGAGACAGACATCTGCTAATGTGGTTATTGTGGTTTAATGTTCCTCTCCTGTATCAAGTGAATCCTTTAGTTGTCCTTCTCGTCTGACCTTGTACTCCTGTGCACTCGGCTCCGCTCCTTCATTATTCAGCAGCATCCCTCTGGCCTTGTATTCCAGCTAAGATGATTTTCTCTTAAATCAATATTCACTTTTTTAATGTTGCGCTAAACCCTGGTCCAGCCTCGCATACATAAAGACAAAAGTAGAACATATGAGTCAGTAGTTTCCCAGAATGCAGAGATTAATTATTTCCACAAATGCCCCAGCAGGTCTCCATCAATGCCATACAATAAAACTAAACTGTTCTCATTATTTTTAGACCATTTAAAAATGAAAAAAGGAAAAAGAAAAGGAACGCTAAAATTCAAAGGCTTTCCTTCTGTATACTAGGTATACAATGCTGCGACCCCACAGTGGTGCGATTTCCAGTATGACTTGATGTGCCTTCAGAGTCTACCTGGTATTGACAGGTACCCGTTCCCACTTCCGGCTGAATCACCGCTGCAATCCAAGGGGAAGTTCAGTCCCACCCTCCTTCTCAGACAGCCTTTCAGGACACATCATGGTATCCAGAAGACCGCGGGACCATTCACAAAGAGCAGCGCGGCTTTTAGCATGTGGACTGGGAAACCGGCCTCCTACAAGCTTTAACCAGTGCTCTGCTGGACACTGACAGTCACAAGACTGCGCTAACTGCTGAAGAGAAAAGGTATTTAGCAGTTTATATTTACTAAAATAATTGCATTTCCATGTTCTGTGTACTGTGGGAGACCAGATATAGGGAATGCAGGGTCCGGGGAGCACAGATATAGGGAATGCAGGGTCCAGGGA